AACATCTTAAAAGATCCTGCATGAATATTAATAGGATGAATATCTTCATTTGAATTTAGTAAGTTTATGGAAATCAGAATCAAAAGTTTATAAAAATGGCCTAAAAGCCTCAGATTGTAGGAACTCACTTTTGAAAACCCAGGTATCACATAAAGCATATCAAGCCCAAAAGGAGGTTTGGTCAGGATACTGTATTTCAGAAGAGGGTCTGAGAAACATGGATCCCATGAGGGTCAGAGAAGATATATCAGTTTGCATTATAGAATTTAGAATATTATGATTCTGGAGTGTCTGATTTTCCAGTAACCCCTGTGGAAGCTAGGCCTTATTAGCTAATGGAAGCTGAGCTTCTGTGCAATATTGACGTCAGCAGCTCTTCACTGAGGGCTTTACCTGTGCCACGCACTGTTCACAGTACTTGTGTTCTTGTAAGGAATGCATTGTCCCTTTTTACAAATGAGAAAACCAAGTCTCAGAATATGTGACTTGGCTGGGACCTCACAATCTGCCGGCTTCTGAAACAGCCTTCACTCCCAGCTCTTCCTGGCTCTAGGGGAGTGTTTTTATGGTCTGCCGCCCCCAGTTTAGCCAACCAATTTCTTACGTTTTTATTTGCTTAGTTCTTTTCATCTAAGGATCTGTAAACAGGGACCTAAAGTGTCTAAATTTCAGTCTTCTGACCTAAAACATAATATAGCCCAGAAAGTTAAGAGCTATCAAATTAAGGTTTCTGAATAATTTAGATTTAACTTTGAAAAGAAGAAAAGAGAAAAAATTACATGTTGGGAATTGAAATGTAGTTTTGCTTTTCAAAGGAAGGTAGATATGATGACCACTGAGCACGACCAACGATGATGTGACGTTCCTGAGCAAGATTCTTAAAGACAAGGACACAGCAATCATTGCACGGATTTATTAACAAGCCAGATGTGCTTTTTGGACAGGCTCACCAGACTATTAGATCCATGAAATTCAAAAGACAAAGCACCTGACTTTCAGCATGGCGCACTTGGCAAAATCATCTTCCAATATCTTACAGACAGAGCAAGATAAATATAACTTAGGTTCTATCTAGAATATATTGCTGGATCAATAACTGGTTGAACAACTATACCCAATGAGTGACTGACATCTTGCTGAAGATACTTTTAGGGTGGTGTCTGACATGGCTCAGTCTTCTACCTTGCAATAATTTTTATCAGATGTCCATATAAAAGTCCTGATTATCCAAAGTTTTCCTAGGAGGAAAAGAATACCTATCGAATGGACTGAAAGCCAGAATAAGAATATGAAATCGTCTTAACAGACTTCAGTAGGCAAAAATGTGGAAGACTGTTCTTACGTTTAAAAACTGAAAAACACAAGTACAAATTGAGAGTGGTATGATTTGTGGGTTTAAATTTATTAGATTTTATTATTAGACTTTGTTATCTTTAGACATAAGAAGTATAGGTATGTGAACCAAAATAAATTAACAATTTCCTTCCTTTTTCCTTATCAGTAATTTTGTGGAATATTAAAGCTTTTACCAATATTTATATAATACTGAGAGTGGCACACCTCACAGATAAATTGCACCTATAAAAATGCTTTTAATCAAATTATACTATGTGCATGTTATAGATTATGAAATACAATTAAACAAACTCACCAGAGTCTTATATTATGCTTTTGCCTAATACTGGCCCAATAATTCTCTTTCCTAAGTAATTTTCATAATCTTCCTTTTTTAAGAATTTTTTGAAAACGTTTTTTAACTTAAACAGTTACTTAGCTTTATACCTTTTTAGAGAGAGCATGTAGAAATTAAATGAAAATATATCTCCTTTTTTTTCTTCTGGAATTGTTTTCTCCCAGTAAAATGTAGACTCCATGAGCTTGAGGACCTTATGAGTCTTCATTGCCATGTTCCTAGAACCTAGGATAGTTCCTGGCACATAGTAGTTGCTCAATAAATGTTTGTTAAAGGAAATAATAGCTCAGATGATTTTGACTAAGCTCATCAGCTGGATATTGACTCCATATAGTATAGTTTGCTGTTTGCCTCTGTGATTTCAGTGAATGGTTTTATTTTAGACAAAAGTGAACAATTATTGAGTAGGCCCAATGAACAAGAAAAGAAGTTAACTAAAGCTTGCAGTGTACCTAACATCTGTTGTGGATTACCCGTACTAAACAGAATGTAGGAAAAATCCCATGTAGTAGTCAAATGTTGTAAAATAATAAAAAGTATTGACAATAATCACTAATTATATGCCTCAATTTCTGGCCATTATTAACGGGACTTGATACATTATCATGTGAGGTGATACAGAAGTCAGGATAAGAGAGCCCTAGACCAGGAATCCAAGTACTCAAGTTTAAATCCTGATTCAACCACATATTAGTTGTCTGACCTTAAAAAAGCCTAAGTAACCCCTATAAATCTCAGTTTCTCCATTTGTAAAATGGACATAAGAATAGTCATCATTTTACAGGGTTGGTATCAGGATTAAAAAGACAGTCCATGTGAAGAGATTAGCACAGGATATAGCACTTTGTAATAATAACATAAACAAGCTATTATGGTGTAAAAGCAGTTTTTTAGCAAGGTGCAACACATTATTATCTCTTTTGTGCAGAGATGAACTTTCTTCTCAGAGAGACGTGACCATCCTAGGCCACAGACAACATTTGGGAACCAGCGCTAGAACCCAGTTCCTCCAACTTGAAATCCTGTTTGTTTTGTTCTTTTGAGGGGTGGGGTGTTATTAGGTTTGTTTGTTTATTTTAACGGAAGCAGTAGGGATCGAACCCAGGACCTCATGTATGCTAGGCGTGCTCTCTACCACTGAGCTACACCCTCCTCCCTTCAAGCCCTGTTTGCGTTCTAGCTGTGCTCCTTTAACATGATATGAGAAGAATCCTAGAATAATTTTGAACTACCAGCCAAAGTATAAAGAGTCTGAATGGCCCTTCAGGAAGAAAAACATGCAAATGAGTAAAAGAACACAAATAGAAAAATAGAATGTCCTGGGTCTATTGCACCTGCATTGAGAATATTGAATATTGTATCTGCTGTTGAATAGAGGGAGGAAACAGCTTTATTTTAGAAATATTTTTATTACTTATTTTAAAAGTCAAAATGACTTTATCTATCTACATGTATTTTTGGCACTTAAAAGACAGGGCTTTTTGCTCTTGTGTATAAATTTCTCTGGGCAAACACTTAAGATTGTACAAAATTTAAATATTTAATGCAACTTTATCATGATGTTTTTCTCATTTGTGTACTACCATATGTATGTGAATTGCCTTTATTTTGTTTCCACAGAATGCTGAAGTTTCTGTTTTTGAAGTAAATATACGCTTTGTCGGTGGACTACTCTCAGCCTACTATCTGTCGGGAGAAGAGGTAAGATGAAAAGCAGCATATATATGGGAAGTATAAAGTGTCTTAAAATTATATTTTCTGGGTAAAATAGGCCTTTTGCAGCATCCATTAAATTTTCACATTTCAGTGGGCCACTAGCATACACTAAATTTCTTATAATATCTACTAATTATATGAGCACACTGGGAAAGTCTGGCAGAACATGTTGTCAGGAAATGTTTAGCAATGCCTTTAAAAAACCCTGGCTCCGTTATGTTATGTGTGGTGTGATTACAACTACAAATTATATATGCCTGTGGACAGAGTAAAGAGGCTTAGTACAGTGGCAGGCTTGTGGATAAATCTGTTTCTTTAAATATTATTTTAATGTTAGTAAAATGTTCACTTAATAAAAAGTTTTTAAAGTTAAGAAAGCTTGGCAAGTGAGATATAAAAATTACAGTGTTTTAAGAAGTTGAGGGGGTGAGGGAGATACCCAGCTTCCCAGCGAGAAGTCCCGTAGGCCAGTATCCCTGTGTACAGTGCTGCCCTGGGTTGAGGCCTAATTAATGATCCACTACTCAGAGCAAAGCAGGAGTGCCTTCAGTTGATAGATTAAGAAGGGGTTTTTGTATCATGCTCACGAAGAGCACAGATTCTATTTTCTTGAAAGGTTTTGGACAACTTTATGAATGACAACCTCAGTGTCCACTAAGAGTCGCTGGACTGGGCCTCACCTTTCATGTCGACAGTGTTAAAAGCTGACATCAAGGAAGAACAGTCCTGTATTTCAATTGCATATCAATCAGATTTGTGTTAGCCGCAGCACTCTGGCTAGGGGAGGAGTGGAGCTTACCTGGTGTAGTAGTTCATGCATTTCTACGCTCCTTCAGACAGATTTAAGCAGAACAATAAATGTTTAATGAGAAAGACTGTTTTACTTTGTTTCTGTCTCTCAGGTACTTTCCTAGTCATAACAAAACAGCCTGCACAATCTTAACATTCTCTCTCTGCTTAGATTTTATTCTACCTCAGAGATTTTAAAAGTCCGTAGATGACTTCTCTATTCCCCATATCTGTCCTGTTTATGTGTTAAATTCTGTTCCTCATTATCCCTCTTATTCCCTTAAACCTGGGAATCCATATTTTTAAGAATTCATACTTAAAATTAACCACTGTTTTTTCTAACTAAAAAAACTGCTTTTGGAGTACTTGTCTTTGAGTATTCAGTGCCTGCATATTCCCCCTGTTTTTGACGTGGCATGCTTAAGATGACCTTGATTTTAACTTTCTTCATCAGTTCTGTGGGAGTGAGACAATTTGGAGGAATTAAGGATGCTTCATTCTGTATCTGGGCTCAGATAGGGTAATGGAGCGTACAAAGAGAAACAATTATGTATTTCTTCTAAATATACATCATATTTAATTAAGATACTTGTTTCACCCATAACAATGCCTTAAGTTTATACGTAAGTGTTTATTTCTATATGTGTGTATGCTTATTATAGGCATATATATTTATATACTTATATAAATATAATACCTACAGATATTATAGTTTATTGGTAAAATCATTTGCCTAAGACCTTGTAAGGGTATTTTTAAATTCTATACTTAGCTAACTTTAGTAAGCAAAGGACTGCAAAAACACCTTCACTGAAAATAATTATTCTTTTAGTACATTTGCTTTGTCCTTATCCCTGAGCAAAACATTGTTTTTATTATATCTAGATTTTCTTTATTTTAATTTAATAAAAATTACTTTAGGTATTTCCTTTTTTATATACTTTTCTATGTTTCTGTAGAATATGTGTTAATTTTAGTTCTTAAGGATTCATCTTCTCAGCTTTGTTTTTGCTAACTATTCCCTAAATGTTGCACAGTTGGGTTGTTCCTAGTATTTCTGTATTTTGAATAATATAGTTATAACCAGCCAGTTAATGTGTTTATTCTCTAAATTGGGATTGCCAGGTGAGAAATGATCAGTATTAGACTATTTACCATCATCTCCTGTTTCTTCCTTCCAATTATCTCATCACTGTCAGTTGCCTTTCATTTGACCAGTGCACTCAGGAGACTGGCTTTCAGGAATGTGATTGAGGAGAATTATTTTACCCCAAGTCTGTGCCTAAGCTATTTGTCTCCATATCACAGTAAAAAATTAGGCAGTCATTTAATAGAAAGAACATCAACATGGCCAAATTATGAATTAGTTGGTTTCAGATTGTTGAGAAAGTTCTATACTGCATACTTTTATGTGGATCAAGATATTTACTAAGACAGTCTAGGAAAATTCATCTTCCTAAATTATCTCACAGAGGGGCTACTAAATCATCATAATTTAACATTCTCTTTTCATCTCTGTGGCTCAGGAGTATTCTGAGAACATCTTATAAATCACCATCAGAAATATATAAGTCCACATTGGTATAAGCTCAAGATTCTTAAATTTATATTGCAAAAACAGAAGAGGAAATACCACTGATTTGTGTTACATGCTTCAGGAAAATTACAAGTAGAAACACTGAATAATAATCAAGAATGTCAATGGAACTGTATCTAACTCACTCTACCTACCTGTCTAATTAAGCCTACCAAAAGAACAATAGAAACGTTACTTGTTGACAAATACTTTGTTTACAGGAACATATTCAAAAACTTAAAATGTCCTAACTCAGTTAAAATATTTTGTCATGTTATTTGTTTTTAAAGTCAAACCACAAGACTTCCAGAGTCTAAATAAGAAATGCAAACAACCATAGGAATTACAAACAGATGGGGTAGAAATAAGATGAATACTAAATACTAAATGATCAGTATTAAAAATAAAGAGATAGTATTGCTCTATTGTAAGTTCGAGGGAAACTAAAATCCCCATTGGAGATATAGTGAATAGCAGTAGCTAGAATATCATTATCCATTATGTTCTACAGCTCACTAGTTTCTTGAGATATGGCAGGATAAATCTGTATCTGTATACGTACTAAAAATAAATCCAGAAAAAGCTACATCCTGCATTCTTTCTTAGAAATTCACAATTCACAGAAAAAGAAACTGATTTTATTTATCCCTATGTCTTCCATACTTACTTCCTCTCTTATGTTTTTAATGTAACATCCGCTAACACTGAGTTACAAATATAGTTTCCCAGAAAAAATTTTGGAAAATGCCACTGTAGCATAAGAAAAATCAAAGCAAAAATGATATTGAAAATTGGCAAATGCAAAACAGGACATCACAAAGGAAGATGATGCACGTAGAAGGTAGCATGTATGAAATTACCATGGATTATTATTTGTTTTATGACAGAAAGCAGTGGCTATGTTGAGCAGAAAGAGAATGTAATGGAATATAGTGACGCTACAGACTTCTAGAGAAGGCTGAGGAACAAGTTAGAACTAACACTCTCAAGTTGCCACAGAGGATCTGTGGCTCAATAGTCACTCTGGGACATCCTAGGATTAATAATAAATATGCACTATTTTTTCTAACCTTGTAAGGACACAAAATCCCAGAAGAAAGAGGTCAGTTGGCAATTTTGGTTACATGTGGCGCCTTGACAGTCTTGGGAAATGAAAGAGAGGATATGATAGAAGAAGTCTTCCACAGACTTTGAATTCGGTATCCTATGCAGACCGAGTATAGATAATTCCTGAACAGGAAATTGAGACCCTTTTAGAAGAGTAAGAAGAAAAGATATTTGGGGGGGGGATCAAAAAAAAAGACATAATTCCACTATGGTGAATAAGGGTATCAGAGGGAAATAGACAAACTGTATGGAAACTGATAATTTAATGAAATGCTTGGGAAAGATTTTCCTGATTCGAAAAACTGCTTTGTTCCATAAATTGAGACCATTTAGAACTGCCAAGATATTTAATCCTTAATGGAAACACTCGATTAGTATGTTTTAAGTATGTAAACTAGAAAAACAAAAAGTCAACTCATAAAAGCTAAAAAGATTAAAGAATGAGCTTTCAGTGAAAAAAGGTAACAAGGGTACCTGATCCAAAACTGTGGAAATACATATCATGGATTCTTACATTAGATCAGTTTACTCTGCCGAGATAGCCTGCATTTTGAAGGTAGCAAAAGAATGCTTTTTCCCAAATCCACCAAAAGAAACCCACTGCTCCAGACACATCAGTACAAAAGATTGCTGAAGGACTTAACTGAAAGAGAGAAGTAGCTAATGCCACTAATTTTAAGACTATCAAGGGGAAGACATGGAGGAAGGGGATAGGATTGTGGGTTGGGGGGAGAGAGGTTAGACTGAGCATGTGAGTGTGATGGTAGAAAGATCTCTTTTCTTTCTTGTCATAGGATTCAGACATTTGTGGGTGCTTAGGAGGCTGGACATCAACTTTGTAGAGTTTGTTTAGTGATGAATAATCATACAAGTGTTTAGAAATCTCATAGAAAATTAGGATACACTGATGGGATTACCTTTCAAACTCAGTGTCTGCCACAGTCCACTAAAAAGAATAGTCATTTCCCAGAACATCTAACTGTCACGTGCCTTATTCTGTAAGGAAGCTAAGGTGAGTTAAAGAAAATGTACATAATTCAGAGCTGTGGAAAACAGCGTAAAGACAATACTAAAGTCACATAACAAATAGCTGTTAGAGCAACGAGGCTCTGGGCAGGAAGTTATCTTCAGGTTTCCTGAAGGCCAGAGTGAAAAGGGGAGAGAGCTAATAGTCATTTAGTTTTAGTACTTCGATGGACGCTAAAAATTTGATAACATAAAATCACCCACATATAATATTACCTATATACAGACTAAATTTTCCATAAAACACATGATCAATTGGAATAAACAAGAAAAAAACAATACAGTTGGATCCACCAGAAATATTTTTGCACCTCTAATCCTGCTTACATTGTAAACACTGGGCTCAGATATATCCCTCTCTCTCAAATATATGGAAGGTAGTCTAGTTATGGTCTCTTAAAAAGTCGGTTTGAATCCAGAAAGCAGAGAGATCAAGAAAGGGCATATTTGGAAAACAAAAAGGTCAGATTTTGAGTAATACAGCTAT